CCCCAAAACCCCAAAACCCCAAAACCCCACTGTTGGTAGGATAGATAGAAAATAATAATATTTGTAAAGGATTTTTAATTAAAGATGAATGAAGATTCAGAAAATCTTATTAATGATGATAGACTTGCAAGAGAGCCAATGCTTAGGAGAAGGCCTTCATCTGTTAACTATAATCAACATGCAGCAGAGCAAGAAAGAATTAGAGCTAATAATATTATCAAGCAGGGTAGACAAACTTCATCGAGATTAATATGATCCTTAATTTTTATGCTAATCTGTGTCTTTGCTTCAAGTCTTGATAATTGCGGACCTAATATTAAGGGTCTCTTGTGGCTCGCTATTGAGATAAAAGCAGGACTAGCTGTTTACTATTATGCCATGATTTACTGTCTCTCAAAAAGAGGCTTTAGCTCTATATTTTATCATGTTCTTGATATAATTATCTTCATTGGACTACTAGTTTTCCATTATTATGTCATTTCACTCTACTATAGAGGCAGTAATACTTGCAGGGATGACTGGAACTGGCTCTGGTTTGGACATTTTTTGTTACTGATAGAAGCATTTTGAAGTATCTGTGCTTGCTGCTGTATTTCATGTTTAGTTACTGTTATTATTGGATTACTATGATGCACTTCAGTTGCAGAAAGACAAAAAAGAAGAGCTAATATTGCCATTAGTGATCTCTTATTAAATGCAGCTCAATTTAAATTCAACCCAGAGGATTACAGGAGCACTAAGGAATGCACAATATGTTTAGAGGGTTTTAAGGAAGGGGATAATATTATCAACTTACCTTGTCATTCAACTCATATCTTCCATGCCCAATGTATAGCAGACTGGGTAAGAATCAACAACAACTGCCCTCTCTGCAAGACCCCCATCACCCAAGAAGACATCAACGCAATTGAGCTCCCTGAATCAAACCTATAATCCCTTCAGAAATACTCAATCCTTCACAAATTCTCTGGGGTTTTGGGGTTTTGGGGTTTTGGGGTTTTGGGG